TCACCGCCCAATAAAAATTTTCCCATCAAATTTGTGCAGATTAATATCTATTCATATCACCTAATAAATTTAACTCTGCTTTTAAACAATCTAATCCCTAAATATGCTATGTCAATTCTTATCTATGTAATTTTAACTAGTATTCCTAAGCAACTTTTCCATGTGAAGGTTGGTTTAACTAGCATTAAGAATAATCTTAGCTTGCTTGAAATACTGTGCATATTATGGGCTTTTCAACTAGCAGTATTTAAAAAAAAATAATAAATTTTGGTCAGTACTGACTTCTTTCCATTATTATTTATCATAAATAGCAGCAATCCTGTCCATACTGTAAGAAATAGTTATTTGTTGTGCAAATTGTTATTGATATATTTACAATCATTGGAAGTACTAAACCTCTAAGGGTCATCAGCTTCATTAGTTAGGTACTGCTGAACTTTAGTTTTCTAGTGTTTAATTCCATTACAGTACTGGCAAAGACATGGCAAGTAATTCACTCTAATGTTTTATACAGTGCTTTTCTGTATATACAGGTCTTTGATACCTGCCTTGATAATAATGAAGGGCTGTTGATCCAAGAAATTGGAGCTACCAGTCTCATTCTCTAGATCAATCTTATTTACCCCCTTTCTCCTCCCATTCCCCAGGCACTGGATGATACTGGTTCAGCACTTTCCAAAAATGTAATAAAATTGATATGATGAGTACTCTTGAATTTTGTTCGCTTCCCAATCTACTGTGCTAAGAAGATCCCCAACCTTTAAACAATCTGAGGCATTTTTAGGAGTTTCATAAACATGATTTAATTTTAGCTGTTTTACAATATGCCACTTTACATTTCCAATTTTTGCAGTGCACTAAAGGTCAGCTTATTTAATTATCTGGAAATTTCACATTATGTATTTGCAGTCTTACATAATTTATTCCAGTTTAAATCATGCTTGTATGCAAAGGACATTATTAAACTTCAGGAGTTTAAATATATAAATCTTCATGCTAAAAATAGCCACTAAAGCAATGTGAGCTCTTTGTTTTTGGACAGTGCATGGGAGACAGTAGTTGCTACACAGTCCCATGTGAAGGTGACCCAGTATCAAGAGTAGTTCAAAGCAATTGCAAAAGTTTGATTTTATACAATACCTACTTTAAATGAAACATAGGCTTACTTTTTATTCTTAAGGTTTTAAAGCTGTTCTATATATATTGCATCTTTTCTTATTATACTAAGAATTACTAAATATAGCCTGAATATTGTTCAACAATGTTCAAAATTTTTTTTTACAAATAATGCAACAAATCTGATGTCTGATCTCAGTTTCTTATATATTAGGTAACTATTGGGTATCAGTTGCTCAGGAATTTTTAAAAAAGAAATGGTTTTTGGGCATTTAATTTTTCAGCTCAAGGGAAAAAACCCCCAAAGCATCCATTTATATATCAAGTAAGTTATTTTGGGGTGCAATTTTAATCATGGGGAGCCTAAACTCGAGGATTATACAGCGCCTGAGGGGGGGGTGGGGAAAGGGTTTTAGGTCAAAATTCCCAAAATGGGCACAAAACCAATTCCCTTTGATCAAAAAAGCCCCCCACCAGCACAAGGAAAAACCCCCCTTGGGGGTTTTTTGTGTGCAAATAAGTATCTGTTTAAAAAAGTGTTTCACGTGGCCCGTGGCCCGATAGGGACCTTTCATTCACACGCTGAGTGGGCATCGTTCCAAACCCCCGCAAGCTGTGGCGGGGGTCGTTTAAAGGGGTTTTTTTTATACTTTTTTCTTTTTTTTTTTATTGTAATTTTTTTTTAAAATAAAAAAAAAAAAAAAAAAATTTTTTCCCCCAAAAAAAGGGAAATTTTAAAAACCATTGGCAAATTTTTTTCCCCCTTAACAAAACCCCGTGCTGTTTCCCCTGGGGAAAAACCCCTAGGGGCAACAAATTTTAACCAAAAATAAGTTTTTCCCCTGGGTTTTTTAGTAAGAAAAAATAATGGGTTGGGGTTTTCCCCTCCCCCCCGGGGGGGAAACAAAGAAAAAAATTTTAGGGGGCCCTTTTAATGGAAATAAGGGGAAAAAGACCCCCGTTCCCCTCAATGGATTGGCCACTTTTTCCTTTTGTGGGTTATCCCCTGGAGTGGGGGGGCCTTTAAAACCCCTCTGGGGTTAAAAATTTTCCGAACAAAAACTTTTTTTTTAAAAATTAAAATTAACCAAAAAAAAAATTTTTTAAAACCTAATGGGGAAAAACCTAAAATGGAAAATTCAAAATAAAAAATGGCTTTTAAAAAATCCTTTAAACTGGGAACATGTTGGTTTTATTCACGTGCGGTGGGCTTCCCAAAGTAGATCGTTTTTTTTTCATTTCCCTCAAATTTGGTGGCCCATAGGCCGGGGTCCCCCTTGGGCATGAAAGAATGGGTTTTGTGCACTTTAGGTTTTGCAATATGAAAAAAAACGGGGATCCTTATAAACCCTTTTGGGGGGCACCCCTTTTAATGAACGCCAGCAGAGCAAAAACTGGCAAAACACCGTGATTCATGATGTCCTGTCCCTATTAACACTCCATTTTTTTTGAAGGGAAATAAAAAAAAGGTTTGATAAAAGCATGAGTGGGTGTGGGTGGGTGTGAGTTGGACCTGATTAGCTTGTGCTACTGGGTCAGATGTAGTGCTCCTTCTTTCAGTGGATGTGACCTGACTAGGTGGGTCATTGGTCTAAGCTGGGGGGTAACATGGACCTGCTTTGCATGGGCCAGTAGGCCTGCTGCAGTGTTCCTTCTTTCTTATGTTCATATGTATTTGCCTGGCTAGCTGGCTGGCTTTGGCTGTCTCTGTCTATCTGTCTATATCTCTGTCTGTCTGTCACTGTCCATTTGTATATCGGTCTCTCACATGTACTCATAAATACAGTTATTATACATAATGTAAATTACCTAGGATAACCCAAAAATTCCATTAGGTAGTAGGTTGGTAGACAGCAACTGCCCAGGGAGGTACTACCGTCCTGCCAAGTGAGTGTAAAATGAAAGCCTGTAATTGTTTTACATGATGGTAGGATTGCTGGTGTCTTTTTGTCTGTCTCATAAACATGCAGGTTTCAGGTATGTCTTGCTACTTCTACTTACACTTAGGTCACACTACACATACATGTACAGGCATATATATACACACCCCTCTGGGTTTTCTTCTATTTTCTTTCTAGTTCTTGTTTATTTCCTCTTATCTCCACGGGGAAGTGGAACAGAATTCTTCCTCCGTAAGCCATGCGTGTTGTAAAAAGACAACTAAAATGCCAGGAGCACGGGGCTAGTAACCCCTTCTCCTGTATAAAATTACTAAATTTGAAAAGAGAAACTTTGTTTTTCTTTTTGGGCCACCCTGCCTCAGTGGGATATGGCCAGTTTGTTGAAAGAAGAAAAGAAGAACCCAAAAATCCAGGCCAAGTGCTATACATTGTTTGTAGATATAAGACATAAGTAAACACGACACAAATAATAGCAGTGTCACTTGCTCAGCAATCAAGGAGTGGTCCATACACCACAAACCAACAGGTTTACTAGCCACTCCCTGAGACATAGACAAGCAGATGGAAAGACAGACACACAGGCAGACAGAAAGACAGAATAAGCAGGACTAGACAGACAGATAAGCAGAACTAGGCAGACTGACAGACAGACATACAAAGACATGTTTGTGTGCAAGAGTAAGAACATATAAAGGCAAGGTTTCCCCTCCAGCAGCGCAATTTCATCAAATGTCACTTGTTATCTGACGCTTGTCATAACACCATTATTCAGGGAGTTCATATTATACTCTAGGCGCACACACAGAAGACAGAAAGACAGATACGCTGAACTGGACAGACAGATAAGCAGAACTAGGCAGACAGACAGATAGATGTACAGACTGACAGACAGACATATAAAGACATGTTTGTGTGCAAGAGTAAAACATATAAAGGCAAGGTTTCCCCTCCAGCAGGGCACATTCATCAAATGCCACTTATCTGATGCTTGTCATAACACCATTCTTCAAGGAGGTTCATACTCCAGCATGTCTAAAACATTGCTGGGACCTAAAAATACTTTGTATATATTTCTAAAC